GGGGTAGACTCACATTGCTGAAGAGTACCCTTTCTAATCTTCCTAGAACAGTGATTAGTAGACTTAACAGAATTCTGGGGATTCGCAAGTTAGAAATGTTTAACAAAGCTTTGTTAGGGAAATGGTTCTGGAGATTTGGGTGTGAAAGGTCTGTGTTTTGGAGGCATGTTATTGCTTGTCGGTTTGGGGAAGAGGAGGGAAGTTGGATGTCTAGAGGTGTGTCTTCATCAGCAAGCATGGGTTCATGGAAAGGTATTAGGAGGGGTTGGGAGGGGTTCTCTAAGCGGACACAGTTTAGAGTTAGGAATGGTCGTTATGTAAGGTTTTGGACGGATGTTTGGTAAGGGGTTGTGGTGTTGGCTTTTAGGTTCCCTAGAATCTTTAGGATGGTTGAGGATAAGCATGCGGTGGTTGCAGATTATTTTAGGCTAGAGAATGGGAGAGTGAGTTGGGATGTGAGATTCCGTTTAAATTTTAATGATTGGGAGTTGCTGGAGTTTACCGATTTAATGGGATAAATTTATAGTCAAGTGGTGGAGGGGGAAGGAAGGGATGAGATGGTGTGGATGGGGGATTCTAGAGGGGTGTTTGAGGTGAGGGTTTTTTACCAAAGCCTTGTGAATTTGATAAGCAATGGTTTCCCTTGAAAGGTTGTATGGAGGGCTTCAGCTCCACTGAAGGTGGCTTTTTTCGCATGGACAGCGATGCTTGGTAGCATTCTTATTCTTGACAATCTCAAAAAAAGACGCCAAATAATAGTTAATTGGTGTTGCATGTGTAAGAAGACGGGTGAATCGGTTAACCATCTCTTATTGCACTGTAAAGTGGCAGTGGATGTTTGGAGTATGATCCTGAATGTTTTTGGGGTAAGACTGGGTGGTGTCAAGGAACATGATGAATATGTTAGAGGCTTGGAGAGGACCAATAGGCAGTCGGGTTAGAAAAGCGTGGAGGGTTGCACCTCTTTGTATTTGGTGGGGGCTGTGGCACGAGCGGAACAGAAGATCTTTCGATGGAAAGGAGTCGCCGGTTTGGGTTATTAAGTTGAATATTTTGCATTCTCTTTATTCTTGGGTTAATGGAAAAAATGCCCATCTATGGATAGCTTTTTGGATTTTGTTGACAACTTATCGTTGTTATGGCGCATTTTGCGTATTTTGTTTGCTTTGTTAAGGGTTTGCTCCCCTCCGAGCGCTTTTGTTAATATATTTTAACTTATAGAAAAAAAAAAGAAAAAAAAAGTTAAGGGTTCGCTCCCCTCTGAGCGCTTTTGTTAATATATTTTAACTTAAGAAAAAAAAAAAAAATGAGCGGAAGAGAAGAAGATAGACAAGTGATGCTATTATGGAAGTTTTGAATTACAATATTATACTAATTTATATAATTTTTAAATTACAATATTATCATCTATAAATTAAAAATATTATAGATAATGATGGGTGTAATGATAAAATCAATTTAAAACTAACTTTCCTTCTCTTGTAACAAACACAATAACTTGTGAGTTTATTCTCTTCTGTCCATCAAACTGAACAAAAAGATAGAAGTACATAATTTCTTCTCAAGGGATGTCTCATCCAACCCTTTATTCTCTCCCTTCCATCCATCAATTTTCATGCATAAAAGACCAGAGCAGCTATATAAAATCCCTAAAATCCAAGTTTCTTTTTATCTGCTATGTTAATAGGACTTATGTTGTCATATATCGTATCCCAAAACTAGTTGTGTTTGACTCTATATTTTTGTTTTTACTTCTAGTTTAGGTAGGAATTTCAAAATTAGTGTCTAGTCGTTACCTCACAGTCATTGTTGAAGATTGAATGTTGGAATTTGAACTTCATTCAAGGATGTTATGTAATCTTCTACACCAAGGGTATAGCGGTAAATTGGTACTTACATGCCCTAACTAAAAATTAGGGTACATGCACTCATAATTTAGATTTGTAGATTTTATATTTTGATTTGGAAAATCCTAATTGATTTGCGTATAAAGAGTTTTGGAACTAGCCCCTCTGAAAAAAATTTAGGATCAATCGAGGACCATTGGTGGCAAGTCAACAATATAGGCATTATCATTGTTCCGGATGATCCCCCATAAAACAACAAAGCATATTACCTAAAGTATGGTTGATCACCTCTATCTGACCATTTGTTTGGGGGTGGCAAGTGCTACTAGAGAAGTATTGAACTGCTTCCACAAAGTACGCCAAAAGTGGCTAAGAAACTTGCTGTCTCGGTCGGTACCCCATGTAAGCGGACTATCTCTTTAAAGAACAAATTAGCTATATTCGAAGCATCATGAGTTTTCCAACAAGCAACAAAATGAGCCATTTTGGAGAACCAATCAACTGCAACCATAACAGAATCCACACCTCGTTGATTCCGTGGAAGTCCAACCACAAAATCCATCTGAAAATCCTCCCAAGCAGCAGCAGGTTCCGGTAAAGGAGTATATAAACTGGTGCATTGGGATTGCCCTTTGGCGGTCTGGCAAACATAACACCGCTGCCCAAATTTTCCCACATCACATTTGAGTAAAAGGCTGCCCCATACATGTTCTAGTGAAAAAAGCACGACGACTGGTTTGCCCTCCTGTGATACAACCACACTTTTACTTTTCCCACATCAGGCTTCTATTAACATATATCATTCAATTTTTCACTATAAAAGGCCACTGGTCTGCCCTCCTGTGATACAACCGCACCAATACCCACCTAGCTCGCATTGTTCAAATAATTTATCAAAATTGGATAAAGGCGAATGCCGAAGCTGAAGACAATATCTCTTTAAGGAAAGCAAAACTTTGTTTCGCTTCATCTGTCCACACAAACCTGCTCTTTTTCATGCAAGCAGCTAGTGGGGCAGCAATACTGCTACAGCTTTTGACAAAATGGCGATAAAACGTTGCCAGCCCATGAAAGCTACGAACATCATGTGCTGATTTTTGGACAGGCCACTCACGAATTGCTCAGACCTTTTCAAAGTCCACCGGTAGACCCTCTGAGCTTACCACATACCCCAAGAAAATCAAGCTATCCGTCATAAAACTACAGTTTTTCAAATTTAACATGCAAACAATTGTCTTGCAATAAAGTAAGCACCGCACACAGATGGCCTAAGTGTTCATCCTCACTACGACTATAAATAAGAATATCATCAAAATAAACCACAACACACTTACCAATCAGAGGTTGCAAAACCTAATTTGTAAGCCGCATAAATGTGCTCGGTGAATTAGACAACCCGAACGGCATCACTTACCACTCGTACAACCCATCCTTCATTTTAAAGGCTGTCTTCCATTCATCTCCTGGCCGAATCCGAATCTGATGGTATCCACCCTTTAAATCCAGTTTTGTAAACACAGAAGAACCTGCCAACCTATCAAGTATATCATCATATAATCGAGGAATTGGAAACAGATACTTGATAGTAATCTTGTAGTTAATGATCATCTTGCAAACATTGAGCAATATAGACTTAAAATGATTGTGCTGAACCATTTCCTGCACTAGCTAAATAATCACAAGGTTACTATTTCATTTTGGATAATGAGGTGGTTGATGTCTGGCACATTCCTTATAATGCTGCGTTTGGTGTGCAAGAATGGAATGAAATGGAATGCCCATTCCAACCATTCCTTTGTTTGGTATGCAATTTAAAGTGGAATTGACCATTCCATTGGAATGAAAATCCATTCCACAACTAAACCTATGGAATGGCCTCCATTCCCAAGTAAATTTCTTTAAAAAATCAACTTCCCAAAACACCCTCATGTTCCAAGTCCAAAAACCACCACTACCTTTTACCACAACCACCTCCGCCTTTCAGCTTCACCACCACCGCCTTCCACTACCACCACTGCCACCGACTTTCACCACCGCCCATCGCTTTCCACCACCACCATCACCTTTCACCACCAACACCGCCACCGCCTTCCTTTGCTGCAACCACCATCGTCTTTCACCACCACCACCGCCGCCACCGCCTTTCACCACAGCCACCACCTTCCACCACCGCCACCACCGCTTTTCACCGCCTCTACCTTCCACCACTGCCACCACCACTGCTTTTCTGTACCCCCACCACCGCCTTTCACCCCCACCACTGCCTTCTACCACTGCCACCACCTTTTATCACCCCGCCGCTACCGCCACCACCGCGACTGCCTTCCACTGCCACCGCCACCACCACCGCCTTCCACCACCTTTCACCACTACTGCCACCGCCTTCCACCGCCTTTCACCACTACCACCACCACCTTCCACCACCACCACTGCCGCCACTGCCTTCCACCACACCATCGCCACCGCCTTTCACCACACCATCGCCACCGCCAGCACCTTCCACCAGCACCACTACCTTCCACCACCACCACTGCTGCAGCCTTCCACCACTACCACCACCTTCCACAACTGCCACCTCCACTGCCTTCTACCACAACCACAGTCACATCCATTGGCTTTCACCACTGCCACCTACACCACTATCTCCTTCCACCACTATCAGCACACTACTGCCACCACCTTCCACCAACACCACTGCTACCTTCCACCACCGCCGCTGCCGCCTACCAACACCACCACCTACATCACTATGGCTTTCCACCTCCACCACCATCCACTACTGCCACTGCCACCATTTATTTTTAAAATATTATAGAATAATGTCATTTTGTTAATTTTATATATTTGTTACTAAGAGGTATATTTTGGAGAACTCAATTTTGAAATTTATTTCAATCTAAATTTTAAATTGGTCCAACCAAAAAATATAATGGTTATTATCATTCCATTCCTACACATTTCATATTTACAACCAAATAATAGAATGAGAATGACCATTCCATTCCATTCCCATTCTCATTCCATTCCCACTTCCATTCCATTCCTGCACACCAAACACAGCATAAGAGTTCAGGATGCTTTGGTATTCTAAATTTTTACAGTACTACACAGTTATTTCTTCTTGAATATTCATAATGCTTTTAATTGTGTCAGTTGAAGGATAACCTAAGAGATGACCCCAGATACAAATCTGTCAAGCATGAGGACAGGGAGTTGTTGTTTTATGAATATATTTCTGAACTAAAGGCTGCGGAAGAGGAAGCAGAACGATCAGCAAAGGCAAAACGGGAGGAGCAGGTAACAGAGCTGTTCTTCTGTTTGCTGTTTAAATTTCTTTTTCCCCGTGCTATAATGTTGGTTTTATTTGTGTGTAAATTTCCACTGCTATGAGTACTGGAGACTATTTTGTTCCGTTGATACAGTAATGTTAGTTGCAGAGCATATTGAGACAGTTTTTCAGGAAAGCGTACCATTAAAAGTAACATAAATCAAAATTAACTTCTTATTGTCTAATGTCTTTTATTTCATATGCAAATGATATGCATTCAGTTCTTTTGGTTATGTTGAGTTGCTTATTGTCGTAAACCCATTTTTTTGTTAGATTTGGCAGCCAAAACTGGTGGCTGAAAATCTAGAATTTTCTGAAGCCCATCCATGTTGAACTTATACTTTTCCAGTGCTTTTATTTTCTTTGTTAAGTAGCGTTACCGTTAGGGATTTTCTTTAGTTTGTCTAACAATACTGTGGGCATTACCTAAGATATGCAATCATCGCTTTAAACACTTCAATCCTCAAGTATAATTATCTGGTCCAGACACTGTGTTTTCACCTTAGGCAATACATATATATATATATATATATATATATTAACCATGAAAATCATAATTGAATAAAAAACTTGTTTTTCTGTCGAGGTCTTTTTGGCCTTGTGTAGTTCCCTTGGGACACACTCCCCTTTTGAGCGTTTTTTACATTTTACTTATAAATAAAATAAAAAACCTTGTTTTCTGTAATTTCTTTAAAGGTACCATATTCTTCTAAACTCGAGCTTATAATTTTAACTTATTCTGTTAAAGTATTATCTGATCAGATTGAACGTAAAAGGGAGTAGGGAAAAGGGGATATTCGAAACGGACGTAATGTTGGTAGTCTCTCGCTTTACTTGTCGTGTACCCAGAGGGAAGACATTGTTTGCTCAACTAGGCTATCCATTTATCTCATGTTGATTATGTCAGGTGGAGGAGAGGTTGATGTTGTCCTTCAAGGAGGAAGGTCACTTTGAGGTCCGTGGAGTGGGTGTTGTGGTCTAGGGTTTGATTCTTGGCCCATTTCAGTCTGACTCTGGTTGGGTGAATCATAAGTAGTACACAAAAGTGTAACAGTGTGATAGATCTATTTGATTATGAATTTTAGGATAAAGCTTGAAATGAGGATGAATTTGGCACTACATCTTCTTTTATTTCTCTCTAAAGGTTTGGATGCTTTTCTCTTTATGCATAGCTTTCTTTATACAGATTGGGTACTGTGATACCTTGATATTAACTTTTATCTTTTTGTTGACTAATTTCTCTTTGTACTCACTTTTCTCCCATTGTCTTGATAGAAGTTTTTTATTCTGTACTTCCTCTCCCTTGGTCATTCATGTTGCAATCAGCGATGATGATTTAAGAACTGTATGGAAGTGGTGGTTGGTAATGGGTTTGCATGGAAATGGTGGTAACTGATGAATCTGAATTCTGTAAATGACGGTGAAATAGAGATGCATAAGGTAGTCTATGGAATCATTTAAATGATCAAGCTTACGCCTTGATGAGCATGGCATTGATGGAAATATTAGCAGAAAGTTCGTTGTCTAAAATTTTCACCATAACTTTATTTTCTTTCTTTCTTTCCTTTATTTTTTATTTTTATTTTCTTCAAATGAAAGTGTCACAATTTAGCTATCTCACTGCTACCCAACAATGATGGAGGATAATAAGTTCATGGAGTTATTGCTAAATATTAGAGATTATTGATTTACTAAAAACAGTTAGAAAGTGAGATTAGATGAGAAAAGAGGATAATAATTTGGGAAAATTTCACCGCTCATATGATGAAATTTTTCACTTATTGTGAAACTGTTTATTGATTTACTATAAACAGTTTCACAATAAGCGAGGGATAGAGAGATTCTCTCAACGAACTTAGCTGTTTGTTTGTTGTTACAACAAGAAGAGAGAGATGGAGAGATTATCTCAACAAACTTATATGTTTGTTATGTTTGTTACAAATATTGGATTACCCTTTGATATGATTTTCTTGTTGATCCAATATATCATCAACTAATCTCGTAACACCCCCGTTCAAGATGATGGTGGAGCAAGGACGAACCAGCAGCATGTCTCTTAGGAGTTGAAACTTGGTATCGATAGTGCTTTGGTGAAGAAATCTGTTGTTTGGTCAGCACTTGGAACAAACACAATTTTTAGAAAGCCACATAAAACACGTTCCCTTAAGAAGTGATAGTCAATCTTGTTATGACAAACGCAACGAACCCAAGATAGAATCAAGAATCACGACAAAAAAGTAAACATACCACATAAAGAACACAAAGATTTATACATGGTTCGGTAACAACTTATACGGTTGAGATTTGGCAAAGGTCTTCACTATCTGTAAAATTGGAGATTACAAGTTTTTAGCCCCCCACTTTGTTTCTGTAAGAATTCTAGAGTCTCTCTCTTACCCTACTCCAAACCTTAAGCGCCCTTATATATGTTTGGTTCTGGCATGAAGAACTGGGTTGGAGGCTAAGTATGTAGCACTGATATTGCCACAGTGAAGGATCGGAGGATGGTGTAATAGGATTTGTATTGTGCTAATGCCCTATATTCTGATTCAACACTTGATCTAGAAACAATGGTTTTCTTGGTAGTGGCCTAAGTGATGAGGTTAGGACCAAAGTAAACACACAAGCCAGTAGTAGAATGTCGGTCATCCGGAGAACCAGCCCAATCAGCATTAGAAAATCCCCTCAGATGTTCATCACGAGATTTAACAAGATGCATGCCAAAATGAGTAGTGTTCTGATGTACCGGAGATTCCTTTTGACGGCACCTAAACGAGATTCACCTGGCTAATGCATGAATTGGCAAAGCTGATTCACAATATATGTAAGATAATCTCAAACTAACGGCTAAGATAGCTCTTAACCTCAGCAACTCTGTTAGTGTCATCTCCAGTAAGAACAATATCATCGGCACACACAATAAGAGAAACTGTCTTTCCTCCTAAAAGACGTAAGAAGAAGGCATGCGAAAGCGATCAGACCAAGCTCGAGGAGACTGCTTGGGGCCAAATAGGGAGCGACGAAGACGACATATCATACCGGAATGAGCAAGAGAACGAAAGCCCGGAGGGGGAACCATATACGCCGCCTCCTGCAAATTATCATTGAGAAAGGCTTATTGACATCTAATTGAAATAGAGGTCAAGATCGAATCGCACCAACGGAAAATAGTACACGGATGGTATTCATCTCGGCAACAGGGGCAAAAGTCTCTTGATAATCTATGCCATAAGTCTCAGCATAACCTTGGCAACCAACCGGGTCTTGTAACGAGTAACTAGATTATGCTTAACTGTAAACACCCAATGACAACCCACAACCTTTCGTCGAATAGGAAGCGGAACCATGTCTTAAGTCTGATTTTTCGCAAGTGCTTGTAGTTCTTTCGTTATAGCATCATGCCATTGAGGTTGTGCTAGTGCATCTGCAACACTAGAAGGAAAAGGAACTGAGGCAACGGAAACAAGGACACTCCGATAGGAGGGTGAGAGAGCACAATCAGAAACAAAATTAGAAATAGGGTAAGTACAAGAACATTTACCCTTCCGTAGAGCAATAAGGCGATCATCAAGCGAAACAATAGCCGGAGAAGGTGGAGCTGGTGCCGAAGGAACAAGGCAATCGATTGTGGGAGTAGAAGTTTGTACCTTTTGTCTCCAACTATAAACCTGTGGAAAAGGAACAATTCCCTCTCGTATCACGAGGAGAAATAATAGAAGTCGAAACAAGCAAAGGTAGAGGAGTTGAAGACAAAATAAGGTGATCATCAATTGTGTTCATCGGGAACCATTTATTTTCGCTCTGATACCAAGAAGAAATATAAAAAGGAGAGAATTGTGTTAAATCACTCATTCACATCTCTTGTATTTATAGATAATAAGAGCACATACTCATATTACAAGAAAAGGAAATTCAATCAAATCTAAATCAAATCAAAGCATATTCTATGGCATATTCTATAACATAATCAGATCTCTGTTAGTATGGTAAATCATTCCATAATTCGTGGTCATCATATCTGCTAACAATTCCAATCGATGCTAACTGAGAAAACAATCTGATGTGATGGGTTGCGGCAAAATTTGTCTAGGGTTCCAATCGATGCAAACAGAGAAAACAAACTGATGTGGCGATGCGATCTCAAACCAGAATCCTAACCTGCTTTGATACCATGAAAACTTGGAAGAAAAATTAATGCTATATTATTCAATCATATGTTATATTCTGTGTTACAATGACTATATATTATACACAAAGAATATGCCCTAACTAAAAATAAGGGAAAAACAAGATTACCCTAACTGAAAAGAAGGAAAAGACAACTTCTCTAACAATTTGGACCTCCTTCTGTTGGAAATTGTGTCTCAAATTCCTTTTTCTAATTAGGTTTCTATTTTAGAGTTGTATTTTATTGGGTACTTTTTTGTTTGGCAAGTCTTGGGCTCCAAGGAATTGTAATCCTTGTATAACAAGGAATTGAGCTTAGAACTCTATAAATAGATGCCTAGGTTACGGGCTGAGAGTTGAGATTGAGAGGGATGTAGCTTGATAAAGGATTTCAAGGGTAGAGATAGTTTGTGGGTTGTTAGAGTAGGAAAAACACCGGTGGCACTAGTATCGAGGAAATAGGATCGTGGAGTGGTACATGGTGAAAGGACATGTTGCCCTTCCCCTTTCCACTCTCAGACGATGTGGGATTGTGCACATATAGCTCGCCCAATGTGGTTGCCTGCCAACTCTTTGGGGCTCAACATCCCCGTTGGCCATACTTCCGGTTAGGTGAGTTTCTGAAACCATTTGTAACGATCCACTCCACCACATGGTCTGATATTGTCCACTTTGGGCCCAAGCCTGTACGGTTTTGTTCGTAGGTTTTACCCTAAAAGGCTTCCTACCAATTGGAATGTACAAATCCTATATATATAGCACATTCCCTTTCCACACCTAGGCGATGTGGGATTGTGTACCT